TTTGAGGCTCAACAGGGCGCCCAAGGCGTGAGCCCGCTCGACGTGCTACCGAAACCCCCAGACGCCTCTGCCGCCCTCGCACGGTGCGCGCCGCCGAACCGTCTCTACCTTAATCCCAAGGCGAGTCCACTATTGGCCCCCGACATGCGCCAGAGACCCCGGCAAAGCCCCAGGGAGACGAGGAAAAAGCGAAGAAGCACAGCTCTGATGAAGCTGCTGTTACAGCTGTTACAAGCATAATCATGCACATACCGGTAGAGGCCCTGCAAGGTCTGCACATGTACATGTACATGTACTACACGCACAGGGTGGACAGACGAGAGCAATGGCAGCTGAACAGTCCAAATCGATAGCACACCTGGTCTCTGCTAACTAATGCTAGTAGTACTACTCCATAGCGGCACCTAAATTAAGAAGCAGACCTGACCCGATTCCCTCACAAGCTCCAATCCCTCGTTTTTACCTGGTCTTCGCTTCCACTGTTTCTCATTGCTCATCCCATCTCACTTCTCTTCTCTTTCTTCTCTTTAACCTTGCATCTAGACGACCATACGGTAGCCAGACGCGCGATCATATAGGACGGCAACCATAAATCTCCGCGGTTATACAGCCGATTCAGAACGGGAACCGAGACCTGTCTTGTCTATCATAAGGGCAGACAAGCAAACCAACAGACAGACAGACACACTACAGCCGCAGCTCGATCCATCCCACACGCCAGAAGAAGCGGCAAAGAGAGAAAGACCCCATACCCAACCAACAGTGCCTCTGCCGATATCAATCCTCGTCTCTGAACTCCGTCACATTCGCCCAGTCTCTGGCCCTTGGTCCGCTCCCGGAGCGGCTGGCAGCGCCTTGCCTCTCATGCACTCTTCTCCACGATAGCGACAGCGACAGCGGCACAATTTCGCTCCTCGTCCTTGTCTTTGTCATCCTCCCTACTCATAATTCACATCAATCACCATGTCTCTCGCCTGTGGACTCTTTGTAAGTCCCACGCTCTCACCTCATATCCCTCCTTCTCTCCAGCCATTGCTCTACTGACGACGGACCAAATCTGCAGCGCCGGCGCTCAAAGTCGGACGAGAAAAAGCCCCGCCGGACCCGTACCTTTTCCATATTCGATCCGAGCATCGACGTGCTCAAGCGAATGATCAAGAATGCCACCATGATCGCTCCGGCAAGATTCCACGATGGCGAACCGACCATCTCCCGTGTTGGTTCCCTTACACGCGAGCACTCAATGACGCCTGAGATGTTTGCCATCCTGGAGAACGTATACGACGACCTACGAAAGGACGACCCCGAGCTGTCGAGAGAAGCTTTTATGGAATTC